GGGGGGGGGAGGGATAACAGTAGGTAAACGAAATTTCTTACTGTGGGTAAGAATAATTTTGGGCGATTGTTAAGAAAGAGAAGATGTTTTTGTAATCCTTTGGAAAAGGAAAGAATCTTAAATGTATGGGAAATTATTGGAAATGGGGTTAGGTGTCATGTAACTAATATGCTAGATTTAAGGGGTCTTGAATTTTTTTTTTTAAATTTTATTTATGATTTTGCATATAACTAGAAAATATAGATATACAAAGTAATTAATAAGGAACCTAAATAAATGTGGTAAATAGGTTTCTATTATAATATAGCTACGTAGAAACCTCGAAAAAAAGGAGAGGACATAGTGGGCCTAATTGCTAGGTCATTGTCTGTTTACAAAATTTGGAATTAAATTAAGAGAAGTTTTCATAAAGCACTATCCTGTAGTGGTAATTAGCTATCTATAGATACCATTTGCTATATTACAGATTGTAGATACGTTTTCTATTGTTATAAGATGTATTAGATGTATTTAAGCTACTGTATTCATGAATACAGTAGCAAAAATAGGCGTGAATCAGGGAAGTCTAGCTAATCAGTTGTTGTATTCGAGTGTATTCGACTGTATTCATGGCATGAAACACGGGATTACAGCTGGACAGATTATTGTATTCGACTGTATTCACGGCGTGAAACAAGGGATTACACTGTTTCTAAACGGAAAGTGAATCAATTAACATAATAGACTCCTAATATAACTCAACAAACTCAATTATAACACACAAATTTTGTATTTCAAGTTATAAAAAAGATTCTCAACCGAAAAATACCCCAAAAACATAGCAATCTTCAGAGAAATTATAATACATCTGAATACATAAATTATATTAATTAAAAAAATATATGAATACATTCATGGCATATAGCGAGATAGTGAATACAATGAAATACATAGAATACAGCGGGATACATTGAAATATAATGAAAAAAAGATAGTGAATACAATAAAATACATGAAAATACAGCGAGATACATTGAATTACAATGAAAAAAAAGACAATGAAATACATGAAAATACAGCGTAAAAACCAAGAACCAGCAACTCTTTTTCATCGCAAAAACCATAAACCCAGCAGATCTTCGTCCCTCATATTGTCTTCCTCTGGCTCAAAATTCACTGTCTCCAAGTTTTAATTTTGACTCCGATTCTTCATCTATTTACTAAATAATAGTAATGAAGATGAATCTTCATATGGCTCGAAATCTACGGTGTCCTCTCTCTTTTTCTCTCTGTTTCTGTGTTTTGAACCTCCCTTCCCTTATGTTGAAGATCTGAAGGGTCGTCTGAAAGTGCAGGAGGGAGGAGAGAGCGTGGGATTTTTGACTAATGGTAGGTGATGTGGGTGAGAGGAATTTTGAGATTGAGCATCGTGTTTTCAGGGAATGAGGGAAGAGAATGACATGTATCAAAATAGAGAGAGAAAGAAAATAGTGTAACTGAATAGCGTATTTAGTGGCTTAGGGGTAGGAGGTAACCAAAATTAGATATTTTGCCATAAACATTAAAAGGTATCTATAGAATATAATTTTTTAAAATGGTATTTATTTAAAATAAATAAGGTGTTAACCTTTGCTATAGGAGGTAAAAATTTCTTAAATTAATGGTAGGAGATTATGGATGTTTTGTCTAAAGAAACAAAGTTGCACTACATTAAATATGAAGCTATGTTAAATAGTTGTTCCCATGTGCTTGAACAGACAATTCAACCCAATAAAAAAAAGTGAAGACAA